TTTACAGCAGAGATATGTTCGCACTTTCAAATTGATCCGGCAATTGAGTGGAATTAAGGGAATAGAGGTTAAGTGAATAACTCTCTTGTCATACCTAATTTTAAACTTTTGACTTGCAGCTCTTGGACTTTTCCTTGTGATAAAGGATGAATGGCTTTTCCTTGTCAAATTAACTTTTTCAGAAGTTTTGACCGGTTTGGTTAGAGACAAATTTTAGAGCCTGCACCGTACTTTTGCAGGATAATTTTGCATTACCAAAAGTTATCTGCATACGAAGCTCTGTAGCACTTACAAGTCATTAGCTTAGAATTTAATTATTCATAGGATAAACCACCACGGTCCATATCATACATTCTAAGCAAAGGTCAGAGTACGTGTCCAAAAATCTGCGCAACATCTAACATCTTCCAATGTGCAGCACGTCAACTGATTGAAAAATCCACCCCCATGAACCTTTTTACTACTTGACATCCTATCCCGTCTTATTCCATGAACCATCGCACTAGATCTTAAATGTGAATCAGCATTTCAAAGCACATTATTTGATCATCACAAAAAGTCAAAAAAACATTCAAATGCTAAATAATAAAAGAATTTGGAGCATCCTTTGCATTTCGTGGCTCGGGAAGTTCTGCAGACATATACATGGTCAGTTAATAGTATCAAAAATATTCTATAGATATAGATGAAATTAATAGTTGGACTTCGATAGCACAACGTATAAAGTACAAGGTTTACATTTGACTTTAATTTTTATTTGCAACAGGATGCCCCTTTAGGGTGGAAGAGAAATACATGTTTAAAAGGTACACACACATGTTATTCAATTTCATCTTTTCTGGAAAATGACGTACTCTGTCTTTCTTTCACCTATGTGAATTAATTTCGTCTTTTGCGTAGATCGTTACAATTGGACAGAGAATGTAGAAAAACCCCATCAATTAATTTTGATACATTGTTTCAAATGCCAAATCAACAAAAACAAGTAAATAGAGGAGAGCAATGAGACATACTTCTTGAGGTTTGGACAAAGCTTCTTGACTTGGAAAAGATAACAACATTTGCACGTGCATTGAAGAAGGCCCTTGGATCGAATGAAGGTCTGGTCTGTGGGACCATAATTGTTGACAGGGCGTAGAAGCATTTTGTCTTCCTTTCTTTGATAGTGATCCTTCTTCACTTGCAAACATTTCATACATCTCCCTCTTTCTGCTATGTTCCTTGATCCTTTTGATAACATGTTCAAGGATGGAGAACCTAGAGAGAGTTGGTAGCCACAACATTGAATCTGGTTGGGAAAAAGATGAAATTTTGGCAGTATGAGAAAAAATGATAGCTGAAATATTACTGAAATGAGGAAATATAAAAGGGAGATAGAGGATTACAATATAAATGTACAATCGCTATTATCTCGTAGACTCGTTGTCCTCTTTAATATCCATACTTGTGAAAAAGAAGGGGGGATGTCATGAAGTGGAAACATCCACCATCCTTTTTCAAACGAACCTGAAGGCAAATGCAATGGGTATGAAGGTCAATGACATAATGTAAGAAGAAGGGGGGAAATAATCATCAAAGAAAGAAGACAAAAGCACCGCAAGCTGACTTTATCCGTCATATCCTCAGCGGTTTCTCTCCACTGTCACATCCTCACCTGAAAAGAATCACCACCGATCCCTCTTATCTCTGCCTCCCAACTGTCATGGCCATCATGATCATGGCTTCTCTGTTGTCACCAAGGCTGCTAGATCTCCCTACCGTCCTCACTGAGAAATGAAAAAGAAGAGTGCGATGAAATAGAGAGGGTGAGGACCAATGTGTAGCCCTCACTTCTGTCACTCACCTTCCTATGGCCATGATCTCCTCATCTCTGCTTCCCCAGCATCATCGCCATTCTCATCAGTGCCTCTCCGCTGTTGTCATCGTCACCAGATCTCCCCACCATCTTCAGTGTTTAACTCCTCATTAGTGAAGGCGTAGTCTGAAGACCAATGAAGAAAATCTGAGTGAGGTGGTTTGAAAAGAAATTGACAGTTGGAGGCTGAGAAAGAGGATATGAGAGGGGTTGAGAAGTGAGCCGTACGAGAGAGAGAGAGAGAGAGAATGTGTGATGCCGGAGAAATAGAAAGGACAAGACAGTGTTGACAGGATTCATAAATAGAGAAGATTCAAATTTCAAAATATAAGAAATGAGGCGGGATTTGAAATTCAAAATATAGTCTTTGCATGCAGCCATTTATATGAGTCATATGACACAGAACCCGAGAGACTATTATTAAGCCAAAAGCCCCTTATAAACAGTAAAATGAGTTTGAAGCTAAAGAATAGGTCATTTGAGTCGTGGTTTGAGTTGAATAGTATTAAAAGATATATTGATATATTGATGAAACCAAGAGTGGAATGGAGATAACTTCAGACCTCTTACGAGAAGTCAATCAAAATTTCTAATTGAGCAGGTGACTCGAGACAAGAGCCTCCATTATTTGAGGGTTACATTTGGTTTTGGCTCGCATCTCAAAATTTATTTTTATAAATTTCAAGACAATCCAACCAGCTTCAAAACATGTCTTTTACTATTTGCGGAATTAATAAATTCCATAATATGTTCCCTTTGAAGAAACAAAACGAAGCAGATATTATATCGTCCCAAACATTGAACTATAATCCTTTCTTCCTTTTAAGTATTTAAATGATCAATATATTTATTTTATCTTTACTGACAACATTTAATAAGAGCGGGTTGGTCATTCAAAATACAAATCAGAATTGTAGTATTTGTTGCTCTCCCTGTCTCTCATATATATTCACTTAAAAGGATGGTCAACCAAATAACACTTACAAATATTTATACGGGATTTTTTTTTTTTTTTGCCAGAAGTATCATTTTAATTAAAAGACTAAATGAAACAGATTTAAAATATTCACTCACCAAAGAGGCAAAAAGTAAAAGCGCGTACATAGATGAGAACAGTATGGGTTATAAAGTGATTGATTTCCTAATCCATTTCAGGGTCCGTTTGGGGCCACGTTTGGGCCCCAAACGTGCGTCCCAATATGTGGCTTTTAATGTGACTGTAGTTTTATATGTTTGGATTTGCGATGGGACTATCTGACTTGTGAGACGCAAATGGGCTTTTGGAAGAAGCTTATTTTGGGTGTTTTTTTCGGATGCACAGCTGCGTTGAGAAAACCGTTAGAGTATTTTATTAGGATGTTAATTTTTTTACTTGACTAACCCTCCTGCATACTTTTTCTCTCACTTCAGCTCAAAGACAAAAAAAAGACACGCACGCACTCCAGTTTTTCTGTCTTCCTGCCTGTAGCTTCTCCACTACACACTTCGTGGGGCTCATGAGTGAGGGAGGAGAGAGAATACATTATGTGAGTTCTTTTTTTTTTTAATCCAACCAATTAGTTTTCAATATTAAAAAAATTATTTTTTGAATAATAAAATCATTTTTTTAAAAAATAAATTATTTATTGTTTAAAAAATAACTATTTTTATTTTTATAATTTTATTTTAATTTTTCTCTGACAATTATCACATTATAAATATATAAAATAAATATATATTGTTTAATAAAGTTTATGTCCTTTTCAGTTATTTTACATTCAAACTTATTTTTACATTTATCATCCAAATAAGTTTCAGCTTATCAAACTAACTTTTTTCCAAAACCCAATCCAAACATAAATCATATTACCCTATCTAACTTTTACTCAATCTGACTTCTGTAAAAGTCAGATTAAAAAAAAGTTACTTCTGCCACCGCTATCCCAAACACACCCTCAAAGTAGTAATATGGATACGGAATTTTCCAGGCCCGGCGCAGCACAGGTTATGAGAATTTTGAACTCTATTGACGAATGACTTTAATATCAATATTGCACTTGAGAATAATTCAGTAAAATAAGACGATTTAGTTGAATGGTTCATGTTAGAGGCCATGCATCCATTTTTTTTCCCGCATGCAAATGGATTTAACTATGGAAAAGCAACCTTGTTCTGAACAGGCTAGTATAATAAACGTGGGTACTTATTTCTCAATACAAATTTAAACATTAGCTTATAATGTTATAAGAAACTAGCCTATTTCACTAGATGATTTCAAAAAAATAAAATTTAGTGACAGGAAAAGTTTGAGATTTTTTTTGTTAAAAAAAAAAACACAATTTTAATTCATAAAGGGTTTTTTTTTTTTTCCGGAAAATGAATGTACGGTTTAACTTGTAGCGTAATACTGCCATCTGCTACGGTCTGCGGCAGATGCTAAAGGGCTCGATTCTCGCATCTTAGAAATGGCTGTGCATGCATCTGCATCTTTTATATATTTCTGAAAAAGATATACCTTTTTTGAGTAATTTTTTAAAATTATCTTTATATTTTGGCCTGGGGGAAAAAAGCTATTTTCTGAAAAAGAATCGTGAATATTTTATTAAATTTTGCAAATTATCTTGTATTATAAGAATTATGAGAAGAAATGCAGTATAGGAGGACCACGTTAGTGGAAAATTTATAATCAATCATTTATGAGGCAATTATATTGTCTTCACATACAATGGTTAACGTTCGTAATCATTGGCTTTGCATGTCGGTGTAATCTTCAAGAATGGGGGAACATAGTGATCCAAAAGAACAAACTGTGATAATATTCTTTCCTCACTTTTTTTAGCCATTTTGGGATGCTTCAACAATCCCCTTTTCATGTCTTTCTTTTCATTTGTCAATGTCAGCGGCTCAAAGGGAATAAATAACAATGAAATGACAAGAAGGCCCCCTCCTTCGTCATTATCATAAACTTTAAATTAATCTTTGGTAACGATGGAAAACTGTCCTCTTGTCATATATGCCATCTTCGTGCGTAACATCCCTGGATGGCCTTGATTTGAATCAATATACTAATATGCAATATAATTACAAGAATATAAAGATAAAACAGGTCTACATATTTACAGCAAAACTACCTCGTAATCTTCTCAACTCTTTCATAATTATTCGGATGGCCTCTTCACATATAGACAGAGAAGACCTGCAACATTCTTCTCAAAATCTCCAACCCAGGAAAGGGCAGAGTGTCTCTTATGCTGCCTTACAATTCCCTGCTGGCAGCATCAATCCGCCCCACACTCACCCTCGATCTGCTGAGCTGTTGCTTGTGGCTCAAGGTACCCTACAAGTAGGGTTTGTGGACACTAATAATAAGCTCTTCACTTCCACACTTCAGACGGGAGACATGTTCATATTCCCAAAGGGACTTGTTCACTTCCAACACAATGCTTATGATAATCAGACAGCTTTGGCTCTTTCTGTTTTTGGTAGCGCCAATGCAGGCACAGTGTCCATCCCCAGTACTTTGTTTAACTCCACCATTGATGACAGTGTCTTGGCTTTGGCCTTTAAGACTGATGTTGCCACCATCCAGACTTTGAAGAAAGGCTTTGCTCCCCAGTGAGCTTCATGCGGTCCACTGTAGTAGAGACCGAATCAATGAATCTGTGTGTGTGTGTGTGTGTGTGTGTGATAAGTAATAAGTGATTCCGCACAAGGGTCTGTGTTCGCAAATTAGTTGATTCGTCATTTGGTTTTGCTGACTCGATATAGTGTTATAATAAGTGTGAAAGATCTGAAAGATAATCGTGTGTTCCTTGAAGAAGGAGATAAGCATTTGTGGATTATCCTTCCAACTAATAAAATTTGTTTGGTCCACTTTGTATATGCTATTTACTTGTGTTACTGTCAATTATTACATTGTCTTTTTTTGAGTGATTTGATAAATCTATTTAATTTTCCTTATTAACATGTTGCATTATTATACTGGAATGTATGGTTGGGGGATATACAAAGCTAATATACAGCTTTAGATGTAACTATGTAAATTCCATTAGGCCACCTCTAGTCCTACACACACATAAGAGAAGGGGGAAGGAAACAATTTAAACAATAAAATATAATATATGATAGGCATGGATTTTATGATATGCTGATCGAAATTGACAGGACATTGCTATAACAAGTAACGAACAATAAAAATCCAAGCAAGACATCATGCAAGACAGCTTTGTTAACTTAAGATAAGATTAAAGCATTAAATTATTAATTAGAGTATATTACTGCTATTTCTTTTTCCCCCTTAACTCTTATCACCTTTTTTTTTATGCAAAATATTTTTAGCCTTTGTACATGCTGTTCAAGTATGTTGGGTTTTCCTACTTAAATCCCTGGGTCCAACTGGGTCGTTACAGTATGTTGTGTGCATGTGTACCAGTGTACGTGGCCGCGCTTATTATCTGCGTGTTCTTTTAAAGTAGACTTTGGTTTGTGCTTCTTACATAGAATTAAGATAAGTTGTATTATTTATAACTTATTAATCAGGTGACATTTATAAATTTCTCCTGGTTCTTTTCCAAATGAGGATGAGTTTCATATTAGTAATACGGATATGTGTGTGTGCGCGCGCGCGCAAAAATGGTTCGATTCCCAGAACATAAATTGTTAACTAGCTAGGTGATGAGATTCGCCCAATTTCCATCAAAAGAACAGAAATCGGTGTTTATTAACCACAAACGAATTTTACAAGCAGTAATTAAAAAGAAATGTCAGAAATATAATGTCCAACCTTGCCCCGAACATTTCTCCTCAAGTAACACATAATTTTATAGCAAACACAGATCCCCTTCTGCGAAGCACTTACCCTTCACTGACCCTACCAACCCAGAAGATGGAACAGCAAATTTGCAGACACCCCTTCTTGGCAGAAACATTTATTATTGAAGTGAAAGAATGAAAAAACGGGAACATAAGATCATAACTTTCAACCATGCATGGGTGACTCCCTCAAGCTTAGTTGGGAGAAAAGCCCTTCTTTAAAGTCTGAATGGTGGCAACATCCGTCTTGAAGGCCAAAGCCAAGACAGTATCATCAATGGTGGAGTTAAAGAGAGTACTTGGGATAGACACTGTGCCTGGATTAGCACTGCCAAAAGCAGAAAGAGCCAAAGCAGCTGTTTGATTATCAGCATTGTATTGAAAATGAACGAGTCCCTTTGGGAATATGAACATGTCTCCTGTTTGGAGTGTGGAAGTGAAGAGCTTGGTGGTGGTGTCCACAAACCTTACTTGCAGGGTACCCTGAGATACAAGGAGAAGCTCAGCAGATCGAGGGTGGGTGTGGGGTGGATTAATAAAAGTGCAGGAAACTCTTTCATGCTTGCCTTGGTGACCGTAAAGGTTGAGGTGGTGGGCTCTGTGCAACAGTACGTAAGCTAGTGAAAGTGAAGAAGTTTCCAGCAACGTTGCTGGGGGCAATATAGTCAACGAGAATGTCTGGGTCACCGGCCGTTGTTGTCTGCACAATAGCAAAAGCAGCGACGGCCAGAGAGAGGAGTACTTTAAGGCTAACTGAAGTCATGTTCCGAGATTGTGAAGATGGCAAGCTTGAAGCTTGAAGGAAAAGAAAAGGATGATGGTTTGAGGATGGAGATAGTTTGGCAGGATTAAAGCAATCAATTTATAGCAGAGGTCGGAAATTTTGAGGAGAAAACAATGATTTGCTGGCCATTCAGGTGATTAAAACTTTTGAAGATTACGAGGTAATTCTTTGTTGCAGCTGTAAGCTGTTTGATACTGTCATTTAGCAAGACAAAGGAGCCCATAATGTCGGAAGGATTATACTATATAAACTTTGGAATGTACTTGTATTGTAGGTAGTATTGAAAAAATTACTTGGGCCTTAAAAAAACCAGAAGATGCTTGACCATATCGGACGCGCACACGAGAGAGACAATTTTACCGACTTTATACCTTGAACAAACGTTACTTTATCAGTGGCTTCATGTTTCCAGGTTGATGAACATTTTATCCTTTCATTACTTTGAACATGATGAACTGGATTGGAACGCTCCCCAGTTTGATGAGACAATAAACTCAATTTAATATTTGAATTGAAATGTCTTGTGATTAGCTGTTTTATCAAGAGGAAAAGTGATTTATTTTATTAGTGTTACAAGAAAAGACAAGATCTGTAATAAACATATAAGAGGAAAAGTTGAAGTGACTACTATTGATAAGAAAATAGTAGAAAACCGATTGAGATGGTTTGGTCACGTGCAAAGAAAGTCTTGGGACACATTGGTAAAAAGAGTTAAGCAAACAGTATGGAGTCCTCTAAAAAAGAGTAGAGAAAGGCTGAAAACAACGCTTAATGAAGTCATTGAGAGAGGTCTTTCAATTAACAATCTATCCAAAGATTTGGCTTTGGATAAGGCTCAATAGCATCGTATGATCCATGTATCCGACTCCACCGAGTAAGATTGTTGTTGTATCTAAATCACATATACACATTACACTGTAAAATTTTATGATAAGTAATTAAATATGGGCACAAAATCATGAGCCCAATGAGTCCTCTTTGATTTTGGACCAGACGAAATGTTATGCCCAATATCGCATGTTTGACCTCATTAATCTTGTGGGCTCCAATCTTTTGACCTGCTTGCTTATTTCACATCGCTGGATAATACTGGTCCATAATACAGCGAAGGGCCAAGCCAGTCGATGATTGCGGCTTAGGAGAGAAGACAAACAAAGAGACATAAAAAAATAATATAATTTGTATACTACTTTTCCCTTTAATATAAGAGTTACATAATTGAATTAAGGATATAAAAAAATTAGTTAAATTGATTATTTATCACAAATATCTATTGACCCCCCCTAAACCATCTTTTTCAATCTTGTGTATTGGAATATCCTTTGGCAGGAACTTTTTACAATCAATAAGAAGATTTTTAAAAATTAAGAGACAAAACAAATTAAGATGGTATATACAAAACCAAATCCAATCGTAAAAAAAAATGTAACAACACAACGATATTCTTCAACGTTTTGTTGTATCAAGGACCTATGTCAAAAATATATACTCTTCTGGTCTTTAATATAAGACCTATTTAACTAATTTGATTAGATTAAAGAAGTTAGGTAAGTTAGTTAATTATAAAAAATATAACATGTTTTTTTCTAAAATATCATAATCATTTTCCTTAATATCCTCCTTCCTCTTCTACTTGATTATGATTGAGAAAATATCCATATGGGTAATTTAGGAAAAAATTTGATAAATATGAGAAATAGGTCTTATATTTATGACTAAAATCAACTCAACAATTAAATCCCATATTAAGAATTAGAGGAGTATATATATTTGACATTAAACACTTGAAGAATAAAGCAAACTAAATAATTTAATGGATTTAGATATAATACTATCTCAAGTCTTTAATATAAGACCCTGTTTGACTTTTATTTTGGTTCTAAATATAAGACCCTAATTCACTTTGTCTCTCATTTATACATTTTTTTCCAAAATAGTCATTCTAACAATGATAGTTCTTATCAATACACTTGATTAGCAAGGATAATTTAGAGAAAAAAAAATCTATTTAGGACAAATAACTAACTCAACTTACTTTTTTAATTTCCTCAAATTAGTCAACTGGCTCTTATAATTAGGACCGGAAGTAGTATTTTGTAATAACAAACTAATCATTAACCAATAATACTAAGTTGGCAAAAAATTAATAATGCTAAACCGCGGGCTGTAAAAGGTCAAACAAATAATAATACTACTAGAACGGTGCCAATTAGGCAGTTAACATAAAGAAAAAATGCAAAATTTTAATTTGTGGGATTGCTGTGGCCTTCAGCGCTGAAATACATAATCAGAATATCATGAGATTCCAACAAGAAAAGCGTGCCCTCTTTAAACTATTTCTCTCGACTCTCCACCCATTTAATATTTCCGCGGCCGTTCTATCTACCCTTTTCCTAATTTTCTGTACTTTTATATAGAGAAGACTTTTATAGAAAATGATTATCAGATTTCTTATATTTATTATATCAAAATTTTCAATTACACATAGTTATATATGTGCCCCAGTATAACATAATTTTATTTAATTAAATCAAAACAAAGGGATTGTAAATTGATAATGATATTCATAACAATAATTTATTACAGAATAAATTATATATAATCCACAATTCCACGTGTTTACTTTTTTTTAAAGGAAAAAAAAAAGAGAAAAGAAAACTAAATGAAAGAAAAAAAGTTATAGGAAATGTAGACACGTGATTTTGATTGCTAAAGCTATATACAGGCAGATGCACCCAACCAGAAGCAAGTGAAAGTAACTACTTCCATACTGGCAAAGTGGTTTTTCCTTTGCTTGAACTTTTGTTGGCTTCATTAAATTTATATAACACGCCTTTATTATTATTTTCCGCCATTAATAAGATTTCTTCCTCACATAGTTTTGTTCGGGGAAATAACCTAAGCATAGTATTTATAAAATCTTTAACAAAAACCACTCTTCGACTCATTTTCATATTCCATGTAACACTCGATTTGAATTAGTGAGTAAGAAATATGAAACGAGTTTCTTTTTATGTGAATAT